GCAACAGGTAGGCTCATTCTTCCCCTAAATCTAATGGGAGTCCTGCCAACGATAGTGGATGAGCCCAGCAAAACTGGCAGAAAAGATTGGAAGCCCTAATAATACTAAGTGGCCACCAGGACAGTGCTTTTTCTGCCTTCCATGAAGGGAAGGTGGGTACCCGGAAGAGTCACGGAACAACCAGCCTGGCCTGGGAAGCAGTCTTCATCTGTGAAGGTCAGAGGCTCCCCTTCTCCCAGAGGCACACGGGGGGCCTAACCATGGGAAAACCCCTCCCCCTCTAGCAACACTGGCTGAGAACCTACTAAATTCATACCTCAAGAAACTAGAAAAAGAAGAGCAAAATAAACTCAAAGCATAAAAACTAAGGGAGAATAAAGATGACAGCAGAAATCAATGAAATTGAAAATAGAGAAAAAACAAATCAATGAAACAAAAGCTTTTATTTTTTACAAAGTCAATAAAGTTAAGACTTTGTTAAGACTAACCAAAAACAAACACACACACCCACAAAAGACAAATTACCAGCTTCAGGATTGAAATAGAAGATATTACTGCAGATCTTCCAGACTTTAAAAGATTAAGAGAATGCTATGAATAACTTTACACTCCTAAACTTGACACCTTAGAAGAAATGGACCAATTCCTTGTAAACCACAAACTACAAAATGCAACCAAGATAAAATAGATAACATGAATAGTCCTATAGCCATTAAAGAAATTGAATTCATAATTTTAAGGCCCATGAAAAAGAAATCTCCAGGCCCAGATGGATTTAAAGGAGCATTCAAAGAAGAATTAACACTAATTTTACAGTTTCTTCTGGGAAACAGAAAAGGAGGGAACACTTCTCAACTGATTTTTTTTTTTTTAATTAAATCTTTATTGTTCAGATTATTACATTTGTTCCTCTTTTTTTTCCCCCCATAACTCCCCTCCTCCCAGTTCCCGCCCCACCCTCCGCCCTCACTCCCCACCCACTGTCCTCATCCATAGGTGCACGATTTTTGTCCAGTCTCTTCCCGCATCTCCCACACCCCTTTCCCCCCCAGGAATAGTCAGTCCATTCCCTTTCTATGTCCCTGAGTCTATTATAATCACCAGTTCATTCTGTTCATCAGATTATTTATTCACTTGATTCTTAGATTCACTTGTTGATAGATGCATATTTGTTGTTCATAATTTGTATCTTTATCTTTTTCTTCCTCTTCCCCTTCTTAAAGGATACCTTTCAGCATTTCATATAATCCTGGTTTGGTGGTGATGAATTCCTTTAGCTTTTCCTTATCTGTGAAGCTCTTTATCTGACCTTCAATTCTGAATGATAGCTTTGCTGGATAAAGTAATCTTGGTTGTAGGTTCTTGGTATTCATCACTTTGAATATTTCTTGCCACTCCCTTCTGGCCTGCAAAGTTTCTGTTGAGAAATCAGCTGACAGTCGTATGGGTATTCCCTTGTAGGTAACTGAGTTTCTTTCTCTTGCTGTTTTTAAGATTCTCTCTTTATCTTTTGCTCTTGGCATTTTAATTATGATGTGTCTTGGTGTGGTCCTCTTTGGATTCCTTTTGTTTGGGGTTCTCCGCGCTTCTTGGACCTGTAAGTCCATTTCTTTCACCAGGTGGGGGAAGTTTTCTGTCATTATTTCTTCAAATAGGTTTTCAATATCTTGCTCTCTCTCATCTTCTGGCACCCCTATAATTCTGATGTTGGTACGCTTGAAGCTGTCCCAGAGGCTCCTTACACTATCCTCGCATTTTTGGATTCTTTTTTCATTTTGCTTTTCCGGTTGGGTGTTTTTTGCTTCCTCGCATTTCAAATCATTGACTTGATTCTTGCGCTCCTCTGGTCTGCTGTCAGGAGTCTGTATAATATTCGTTATTTCAGTCCGTGTATGCTTAATTTCTAGTTGGTTCCCCAATATAAGATCGAGGGTCTTATTAGTTTTCTTGTAGATCTCATTAAGTTTATCGGCGGCTTCTAAACAGTTCTTGAGAGACCTTAAAAGTGTGGTTCTGAACTCTATATCTTCCATTGACAATTTTGTCCTGTTTCTTTGTCTCCGCATTTTGTTATGCTTCCTTGGTGCACCCCCTAGTGGTCTTTGTTCGCAGTCTTATAGTTAAATCTTGATTGTTGTAGCTAATTCCAGGGAGGGTTTGACCTCCAGGCCAAGTGGCTATGAGAATCAGCTGTGTCAGCAGTGAGAGAACTTCTGTCCTCTAGGGAGGTGCTAATCTGGCGTTTGCCTGAGGCTATCCGGCAAATGCCTGTGTGCAGGGCTTGGGCGGGGCGGGTCGCACAGGATCAACAGGGTGGGCCGGAGAGAGCAGTTATGGCGGCTCTCAGTCCTGTCCCCAGGGGCTCCGCCTCTCTGAGTCCCAGCACCCGCTGCAAAGCTCAGAGAGAAAGCCGCACTCGCTCTGACCGAAGCCAGACAGTCCCGCCTCTCCTGTTTGAGTCTGGGTCCCCAAAGACTCGCCTGTATCTGGAGCTCAGAGACTGCGCCTCCCTCCCGATTGAAAACGCCAACCGCGCCCTCCGCCGCCAGCCCGCTCCGCACCTCAGAATTTGACTCCAGCACTGCGCCTCCTCTGAGTGTCCGCATGCGTCTCTCCTTCCTCCCAGTTGTAGGACTTCCACTCAGGCAGCGTTCCCGCGGTTCTGGGTGATGTCCCCTCCGCTTCCTGGTCTCACCCTTGAAGCAGCTGTTCAAAGCAGCAAACTCCAGCGCCAACCCACGCCGCCATCTTGGTTCTCTCTCAACTGATTTTTATAAGACCAATATTACCTTGATACCCAAACAAGACAGTTAAAAAAAAGAAACAAAAGAACCTACATACCATTATCTCTCATGAACTTAGATGAAAAAAATCCTCAACCAAATATTAGCAAATCTAACAATAAATAGAAAAAAAACAATATAAAAAAATGGCTAGATGGGCTTTATTTTAGACTAGAAAATTTGTGCACTGAGGAGGGGGGGGTCCCTCAGCCCCGCCTGCCCCTTCACAGTCTGGGAGCCCTCAGAGGATGGATGTCCCACTGACAGGCCCATGGGAGGTGACCGGCCAATCAGGGGAAGGCACCGCCCCCATCACGCCATTGCTGCTCCTGCCTCTGGCTTCCCTCTGCGGGAGGCGACTAGGACGATCAGGAGAAGGTGACACCGCTGCTGCTGCTGCTGCCACTGCTGGCCACCCTGGCTGTCTGAGCCTCGGGCATCCACTGCAGCTTTGTCTGGAAAGACATCCAGAAGACGTCCACCCTAATGAGCATATTACCCTTTTATTAGTATAGATATGCAAAACTGGTTCAATATTGAAAATCAATGTAACCCATCATATTAATAGGCTAAAGGAAAGGTTGAAGGAATATCATATCATATAGATGTTGTTTTTTAAGTAATTCACTTATTTTTATTTCCTTTTTTTTAATCCTCACCCGAGGATATATTTTCTTATTAATTTTAGAGAGAAATATTAATTGGTTACCTCCTGTAACCTGCAATCTTCTAATTTGCAGAACGACACTCCAAGCAACTGAGTCACTCAGGGCGATATTGTGTTTTTTGACAGCTAAAAAAAAAAATTTGACAAAATCCAGTGTTCATTCATTAATAAAACTTTCAAATTTGATCCCAGCCTGTGTGGGTCAGTGGTTGAGTGTCGATCCAGGAACCAAGAGGTTACTGATTTGATTCCTGGTCAAGGGCACATGCCCAGGTTGCTGGTTTGATCCCCAGTAGGGGGCTTACAGGAGGCAGGCAACCAATGATTCTCTCATCGTTGATGTTTCTCTCTCCCTCTCCCTCTCCCTCTCCCTCTCCCTCTCCCTCTCCCTCTCCCTCTCCCTCTCCCTCATCTCTCTCCCTCCCCCTCCAGGGAGTGATTGATGTTTCTATCTCTGTGCCAGGGAGTGGTTGAAAGTATGAAAGGCAAGTGCATCCTGGGACAATCTGTGTCATAGTGGGTGCACATGGTTGCAATAAACCATACCTACCCATATTTTAATTTTGTTGTATACAGCATTTCTATTCTGCCTTATCCAAAAAGTACATAAAATAGTTTTATTTAAATATTGTTATATTAAAGTTCATTTATCTATTTATTCATCAAATATTTTTTTTAATAATGAAAAGTAAAAAATTTAGTCATATTCAGATGCAACAGATAATTCAAATTATGTAACAATTTGAATACTCCTTGGATTCACTCCCAATAAAGGAATCTATATCCTGGTTTCTCATCAAATATTTTTTGTTGGCTTTCTTAGTGCTGATCATACTGGGATAAAAAAGATGGGGAAAAAAGTGTGATGGACAGAGTTGATCATTGGATGGATCTGGTATTTGTTTTTAAAGCTTTGTTTTTGCTGTGACATGTATTCTATATTTTCAGTTGCAAAGACAAAGGTTTTAGTGTTCAATTAGCTGGTAAATTTGGTTTTCAATAATTAAGACCTTTTTTTATTTGTAATACATCTTGTCAATATTGATTCTTTGTCACTTTTTTCTTGATAATACATAAAATAATAGTTCATCTTACAATTAATGGCATTTTAGGCGCAGTGAGATCTGATAATATCTAAAGCCAACTATTTTTGCAGGGTTTTTTTCTTGATTAATTTTAGAGAGAGAGGAAGGGTGGGGGGAGAGAGAGAGAGAGAGAGAGAGAGAGAGAGAGAGAGAGAGAGAGGAACATCAATTTGTTGTTCCATTTATTTTTGCATTTATTGGTTGCTTCTTGTATGTGCCCTGACCAGGGATCAAACCTGAAACCTTGGCATATTGGGACAATACTCAAACCAACTGAGCTACTCAGCAGGTTTTGCACTTTTCATCTGAATATTTTACCTGTTCTAGTTTTATTAAACATTTAGAGGAACCTTTAACAATTTGAGAGTCTGATGATAAATGCTGTGGCATTCCATGGTAATACTGTGTTACTTACATATATGTTGAAACCTCATTTCCTCTTATTTTTTTTCTTTGTTTTTCAAGTGTCAATATACAGTATCTGGTTTTATGACAAGAATGACTGTCACCGCATAGCCAAACTCATGTCTGAGTAAGTATATTACTCTACAGATTTATTTATTAATGACATATGAGAGATGAAAAATTACTTTTCTCCCTACTTCTCTTTGTTACTAGAGTATAATAATCTCCCTCTAATTTTCTCTAATTATGTATTTTCCTCTAATTTCCTGTTTATTCTCAAAAATTTGGAAAAGACAGAAAAGTCTAAAGAAAACTATAATCCTATATAATAAAAGCCCATTATGCAAATTGACTGAACAGTGGAATGACCTGTGAAATGACCAGTTGCTATGATGTGCACTGACCACCAGAGGGCAGACGCTCAACGCAGGAGCTGCCCACAGGCCCCAGGCCAGCCAAGGCGGTGCCAGCGAGGGGGGGGGCCCTCCCCACTCCATGCGATCGCCCCACAGATCGGCCCTGATTGTCAGCCAGGCCTAGGGACCCTACCCATACAAGAATTTCATGCAACTGGGCCTCTAGTCTTTTGTAATCCTACTACTACACTCAGTGTGTGTTGTCCTGTTAGTTTACTTGATAATGTACAAGATAATGTAGAAAGTTCCAAAAACTTTCCTTTTGGTCTTTTTCTTTATGTATATGTGAGGTTGATGTCCTTGATTGTTTCTTACAAAAATAGGATCATACTGTATGTATGGCCTAGTTTCATGTCAACAGCATTTTTTCAAAGCATTAAATAGCCCTGTATAGTGTCCTGCATATAGATTGTAATTTAACCAGAACCTTCTGAGGGTGTCATCTATGTGCAGTGCCCAGTCTAACCACCATATCCAATGTAGATTCTATCCAGATTTTCACTATAACAAGTGGGACTGTGTTCAGTAGCCGAAGGAGAACTCCTGCACACATCCATGTTTACCTTTTTGAGTGAAATTATTTTTGACCCAGATTCTATGTTACTAAATCACCAGTCCATTACTGTATTGTGTTCCAAGAGATTTTTTTTTTGTAAGAACAAAATTTGGAATTTGGAAAACCATTTTCATTGAATTACTATTCTAAAGGGTGGTTCAATGTCCTTTCTCAAAGTAGCCAGCAGAAGCCACCCTGCATGGGTTATCTGTATTGCTGGTACTGCCAGTCTGGAGTTTAGGTGCCCAAGACACTGTGGCACTCAAGGGGCCTGAGAGCTCTGGGCAAAATGCACAGTGGGCACACTTATTCTGGGGCACTTCTGGTTCCTTTTCAGTGTTCCTTCTCAGAAATGTTGACCTCTCTTCCCCATGTGTCAAATCAAGATTCTCTTGTTATCAACGTGTTTAGAAGAAAGCAGTCTTGATTGTTGAAAATAATCTTATTTTAAAACTAATTCTTATAAAAATGTAAATAATTAACTCAAAAACCTCACTTCCAGGTATGTTTGCATTTTAAAAGAAGCACCCAAGGCTAAGGAGTCCCAGTTGGATGTTAATCAGCTGTGCTTTGGCGGCATTGGCTGTAGCCACAGGGCAGGCCATGTCTAATGGTGTGTGCCCCCTGAGGATTGTTCCATATAAACCTGTGTCACTCATATTTGAACACGTGTTGGCTCTCTAGAAGCACACTTTCTTTAGAGCGTATTTTATCTTAAAAAGATAATGCAAAGCCATTTATTTGATGACATTTTTTGTAGTGTTTTTTTTAAAAAATATATTTTATTGATTTTTTACAGAGAGGGAGAGAGATAGAGAGTTAGAAACATCGATCAGCTGCCTCCTGCACATCTCCTACTGGGGATGTGCCCGCAACCCAGGTACATGCCCTTGACCGGAATCGAACCTGGGACCTTTCAGTCTGCAGGCTGACACTCTATCCACTGAGCCAAACCGGTTTTGGCTGTAGTTTTGAAAGTAACAGCAAAGGCAGCTTCTGTTTACTTAGAAGACACAGATTTGTTGATTTTTTTTTTTTTTTTTTTTTTTTTTTGTTATCCTGAAATCCAGAATAAATTTTAAATATCTAAACTTTGGAATATATTACTACAGTTGACCTTGAACTACACAGAATTGAATTCTGTGGGTCCACTTAGTCTTGTATTTTTTTCAATAAATACAGTACTATAAGTGTATTTTCTCTTCCTTACGATCTTTTAAAGTAACATTTTCTTTTATATGTTAATCAACTATTTATGTTACCCATCAAGCTCCCAGTCGACAGTAGGCTGTTAGTAAAGTTTTGGGGGGAGTCAAAGCTGTACGCAGATGTCAGCTGTGCAGGGAATCCGTGCCCCCTTACCCATACGTTGTCCATACACTGTACATACACTTTCTCCTGCAGATTGAGAGCTTTTGGGACCTGAGTGAGAGAATCCAGCTTTTTTTAGTTCTAACAGCCATCCACAGGAAACCTTTCTGAGCTTTCTTTTCTCTGTCAAGTAGTACCCCTAACGTAAAACTTCAGGTAGTAAATGAAGCTAAAGGCCTATCTGGAAATAATTGTATTGAATCTAAAAATAAAACGAAGTAGAAACAGGAAGCAGAGACGGAAAAGAAGAGCAGTCAAGGTTCTTTCACTAGAATGCCTCCAAAAAGAGACATTTGCTTAACTCAGCTTGTTTTACTTGAAGTGGAGAGGTATTGAAAGTGATTAGAGAATGCCCTTGTGAAACTCTTGATAGGGAGTTTTCAAGAGCCTGGCCTGTTTATGTCTGAAGCGAATACCTTATATGTTAACATTAACTTTGTGATAAATGGCATTCTGGACACCAGAGATAAAAAAGACTACTTTATCTTTCTTTGCTCTAACTGCCTGTGTGCAACTTCGATTTGCTACATATTTCTAAATGTCACATCTGCTAACCAGGAATTCAGGTAAAATTCTTCTTGGCATATTATGTGTCTAAATAAATATGCCTGTCAGTGTCCGTTCTGTCAAATTTAGATCTTCCTATCACTGTTTTGATAGCTGCACTAGAGTAAAAATTCTCCAAGTAAAGAATTGATTTATTCTTAAAGTTCTTTATAAAAACTGAGAAGCTGTTTAGGGAGAGTGGCAAATTTCTAGACCTGTACTATATCTAAATTTGGAAATTCTCTTTGGTCCGTGGCAAAGTTAAAAATCCGCTAAACTTGAAAAACATTGATCCTCCTGAAGAGGAAATCCAGCCTCCCAGACACTACTTAATAATAAAGCTGTTTAGAGCTTGCCTACGTAGACTATGAAATTTGGAGAACTCAGGGAAGCCAGCTTTATTTCTGATCTTACAGATACTCTTAGGGGCACAGTTGAGAATTTGTGAGGAAAGGAGAGAAGCAAAGTCCTTCTTCACAGAGTTAGAATGGAAAAGACCTTAGAGTCTAAGCCTCATTTGAGGGTCCCTTCCATACCATCCAGCAGCTCTGCTTTCAGCGGTGGTGAGCATTGTAACCAAGGTGGCCAGTGTGTTGTTAGAAATGTCTTCTTTTGAACCAAAAGCACAGATCCAGTCCAGGTCAGGGGAGAGGTGAATTCAAGCATGGGCAAGCCAGGCAGCAGGGGGGGGGGGGGGGGGGTAGAAACAGACTGTATAACCAGAGTCCTTGGTGAAGGTAGATTCAGGCTGGGGGTGGCCTATAATTGAGGATAAAATAATCTTTTTACTGAATATTAAAGGAGTGCCTGTAAATTATCGAAAATGAAGAAAAGTACAAGCAAAGTGAAATTGCTTGTAATCCACCATCAAGAAATAATCAATGTATACCTCTCCAGTCTTTTGCTACTGGCCTCACAGTTACGACAGTACAGTATTTCTTTGCCAAGAGATGATTACCAATATGGATATCATATTCTAATTGGTCTGATCCTCATATCACCTGCCAGTCTTTTTTCAGTCTACCATAAAGTCCATGGTTCTACCTTTGTTTTAGAAATAATAACCCTATTAATGACATTATCACCTTAAACCACCCTTCTTTAAATAGGAATCCTGCCTCAGGAGACGATTCTGTGGTCAAATACATTTGAAAAATGTATAAGCCCACCCTTCTTAGAGAATAATAACACATTTTAGCATATTAAAAACTCAGAATGATTCTGCTATTTAAAAAAAAACAAAAACTGTTTAATATTGTTTAACCCAATGTTTTCCAGGAAAAAAAAAAAGAACCATCTCACACTGGAGTTCCTGATGGATTGTTTTAAAGTAGGGAACTGACACAGTGGCCTATTCTTGTCCTATTCCTCTTAGTCCATCAAAAAGCCTTTTGCTACTGAATTGTTTTATTGCCTGTCATCACTGTCTGAAAAATTCTCAGGTAATACAGTTATCAAGTTGTGACTGTGCCCATAATATCCCTTGGCAGGTAGGCCTATTCATTACAGTTGGGAATGAACCTGAGTAAACCTTAAAAGGAACAAAAAAAAGATTGGTTGCCTTGTTGAAATTTATTATTATTATTATTCCAAGCTTGAAGAAAAATATAAGAAACAATAAAAAAATCCTTGTGCTCACTTACGTATCTTTCAGTTCCTGGCATTTTGCTATAATTGCTTCAGACCTTTATGTGGGGGGAGCGGGGAGAGGATATTCCTAAGAAATGAAACCCCACAGATGGATATAAAGACCACAACCCTATAAGTGACATTCTTGACTCCCAGTTTCTAGCTTTATGTATTTTCAAGTACAGAATTAGCGTAAGCAGCACCAACCAAAATAAAGAGCATGCCTCAATCACCTCACCTCAGTTACCCACTTAGTGATTTTTAAGGAGAGAAAAGGGGAAACCTTATGTTTGCTTGTAGTGCTATCATTTGCTTTTGAAGATTCACCAAGACCTTTATTTTCAAGAAACTCATCTTTCTCCTGCCAGCCTGGTGTCATTACAAACTTTCCACCGTGAGTTGTTCAGCTGTGCAGACTTCCTTTGTTTTGGTAGCATTGTCCATTTTCAAATTACTTTACCATTTAGTTGACTGATTTTAAGATACTTTAAAAAAGAGAGAGATAATTTAGTAGAGCTTTTTTTGCCCATAGGGCAGGGTAAACTTCTAATTACTAAACATTTGCTCTTTTTACTGTCTTGCAGTGACCCTTAGAAGTTCCAGGGCACCTTGCCTCATCCTTAGCTCCGAATGCTATATATGTTTAATTTTAACTTTCTATCCTTGAACCTCTCGTGTATGTAGGATCTCTGATTTTCTCATGTGTGCAGGGTTCCTATACATAATGTGTGTAATTAAGTTTGCTGATTTTCTGTTGTTATTCTATCTCGTGTCTTTTTTATTATTAGAGCCAAAGAATCTTGAGGGTAGAGGAAAGTTCCTCCCACACAACCTCATACTTTCATGTTTTGGAGTTAAAAATTTTGTGCAAATAGGGAAGCAAAATTTGCCACTGTAAAATGTATTACTTTGGCACGATAACTGTTTTAAGGAACAGTAGACTCAGAAAGAAGCTTTGGCCTTCCCACAAATTGACTAAAAGAATTTAAGATAGAAGGCCTGTTCGGAAAGAACTGTCACCATAGATAACCACGGTATATGAACTGGTTGGGGCAGACAGGGAGGAAACCTACCTAGCAAGGCCCATTTGATCGAAGTCCTTCTTGGGACCCATTGTCTCTAGAGGGCACAGTAATATTTGTTTACTAAACATTAACTCTTTGATTTCCCTGTGAATTGCCTTACTTTCCTTTGAAGTCCCAGACCCTTACCTCCTTCTTCTTAGCTCAAATGACATGTATACCCATTTTGCCTACTATCTTTAGAATTTGTCATGCTTATGTGAATTCCCCATGCATATGCATTAAATCTGATTTCCTCCTGTTAATCTGAGTTGATGTAAGAAATATCCAAACTTGTGGAGAATATGTATAAGAGTTTATTTGAACCAGACAGACAGTATATGCCAGGGAGCAAGATCTCAAATGCTCTGCATAGAATTTTAATGTACCTATTTCTAACAACTCTGGTATGGAATTCTGTATTTCAGTCCTTCTCACAGTGAAATATATTGGTTGGCAATGCTGTACCATAAATAAAATGATGAATTGGTCAGTCATATATTCCAGGGTGAGGTAGCCAAGCCTCTGTGTTTTGTATTGTGAGGACATTGTGATCATGACATTTTTCCTGTATTCCTGGAAAATGAACACCAGAAGAGTTCTTGGGTCAGATTGTGTTTTAACAGGTGTTGTTGCTAAAACCTGGTTCTCGTCTTCTAGGGTGGTAGAAGAGGAGACACGGCGCTCCCAGCAAGCTGCACGGGATAAGCAGAGTCCCAGCCAGGCCAACGGTTGCAGTGAGCACAGGCCCATCGACATCCTGGAGATGCTCAGCCGAGCCAAGGATGAGTATGAGAGGGTGAGGCTGCATGCCCCTGGGAGGACCAAAGGGGACGAGACTTGCAGGGGAATCATGGACTGGGGAAGTCACCTCCAGGGCCAGCAGAAATAATTAATTCAAAAAGAAAACTTGTCTTTTAGTTTTAAGCCTAAGAGATAATAAATTTGCTTACCTTACAGTCTTTGACTTGGCATGAAAGTTGAGAAATTTTTTCCCTCTATTCCTGTAAAACTACTATGGGAGAAAGTGGTTGTGGAATGCAGAAGTTAGCTGCACCAGGTAGTCTGGGAAAGCTTCATGCCTTGTCTTCACCTCTGCAGTCTCTGCTAGGTCTTAGGAATTTACGTTTATTTACAGTCTGTTATTGGTAGTAAGTGCACGGCCTTCATTAAGCATCATTTGGAATTTTACCCAAATGAGAGGTTTTTCTAGAATTTATTTATTTATTTATTTATTTTAATATATTTTATTGATCTTTCACAGAGAGGAAGGGAGAGAGACAGAGAGAGCTAGAAACATCGATGAGAGAGAAACATCAATCAGCTGCCTCCTGCACATCCTGTGCCCGCAACCCAGGTACATGCCCCTGACCGGAATCGAACCCGGGACCTCTCAGTCCGCAGGCTGACGCTCTATCCACTGAGCCAATCCGGTTTCGGCATAGAATTTATTTTTTTTCTTTCTGTTTTGTATTTTAGTTTAAAAGTTAACTGATAACATTTTCTCCCCAAAGTTGAATGAAGTAGAAGCTGTAGGCATTCGTTAGTTTATTCAGTACATATTTATGAGCTATCCATGGTGTAGCAAGCAGTAGACATTTCCTCCATGGTCATCAGACCTTGTAGCTTTGGAACTTTCTTGGCATTTCACTTGACATCAACATTTAAAAGCCCCACACTTTATTGGAGTGATACTAAAGGCTTCCACTTTGTTTCAGCAGAATTATAATTGTCACCTTATTCTACTAACATTGAGTTAAGTTCTTTTTCTCATTTCTTGTTTAATCCTCACCAAAAGATCAGGGAACAAAGTGTAAAAAGCACTCTCTAAAACTGTATTTCCCAGTTCTACTCTAACACTGGCCTCTACGTTTTAACAGGCATTCCTTGAGAAGAGGTTCCAGTTGGTCCCGTGAGTTAAAAACATCATTAGGTCCTAGCCGGTTTGGCTCAGTGGATAGAGCATTGGCCTGTGGACTGAAGGGTCCCAGGTTCGATTCCGGTCAAGGGCATGTACCTTGGTTGCGGGCACATCCCCAGTGGGGAGTGCAGGAGGCAGCTGATCGATGTTTCTCTCTCATCGTTGTTTCTAGCTCTCTATCCCTCTCCCTTCCTCTCTGTAAAAAATCAATAAAATATATATTAAAAAAAAAACACACACACATCTTTATAGGGCGCTAAGTGCTCAAGACTCTGAGAGGTCCCTGCAGTAAATAAAGGGGTAACACCAGTTTCTAAGTTGATTTGACTATAGCACCATTTTTCACGTACTACCCTTTAAGAATCTAGAGTTCAAGGAACAGTGCTCTGGAAGGTAGTTTTCACCATAAACTACAATAAACCTACATTCAAACACCAAAGGAAGTCCCGCTTCCTGGGTAGAGAAATACACATTCGAGCCCATGAGAAGTTTCAAGTTGTACCAAACTCCTCAATGTCTCATAGAGAATTAGGAGGAACCTATAGATCTGTGAAGATTAATATAGGAAAAGCAGTTAATGAGGTCTGTGTTATCTACACAGATGCCTTGCTCTGTTTTTATAGAGGGCTTTTAAGAATGTGGGGAGAACAGTAATTACTGTTATAAGAAAATTCTTCCATGGTATGAAATAAATAAAATTTGTCTATGGTTAGATTAAAACAAAACTAAATCTTTGGGTATTTAGTTAAAACTTTGATATTTACTTTTTAATATGTTCTGTTTTTTAAAACAGCCGGCAAATAGGTAGAACTTCCATAAATGACAATTTTGTTTCTTGTCTGTATTTGGCCTGTCATCTAACCAAATGGAATTGGTGTTAGCAGTGACCTCTGAATTCATATCTTAGTGTTTGGATGGGTTCCCCTCAGCTGCCACATGGTTCCAGATGGCCCCTTTGTTTATCTTGCACACATGGGAAAAAATACGTTAAGTCCTAGAGACCTTTTAAAATACAGCCCATCTCGTAGCTCAAGTTAAGTTTCAAGTATTGCAGACTCAAATGTCCTTAAAACCATGTGGGCCATGGGAGTGCCTGCTACGGGTCAGGGTGGATCTGACACAGGAAGCCTGTTGCTATATCACAGTGTCAGTTGCAGCTCACCTCCAGGCAATTGTTGCCAAATTATCCAGCTTCTCTCTGAAAATGACAGGCTGGAATATTTATGTAAAACCTCTCATTTTTAACTCAGCCGGTGTGGTCCAGTGGTTGAGCATTGACCTATAAATCAAGAGGTCAAGGTTTGATTCCTGGTCGGGGCACATGCCCAAGTTGTGGGCTCGACCCCCAGTAGGGGGTGTATAGGAGGCAGCCAGTTGATGATTCTCTCTCATCATTGATGTTTCTATCTCTGCCTCTCCTTCCTCTCTCTGAAGTCAATAAAAATATATTTGTTTTTTAAAAAAGCTCCCCATTTAAAAAATGTTCCAGAACATTTTATACAGCTGTTTTAAGAACTTGTTATGAGCAGTGTTTTGAGTTTATGTTTTATCTAATACAGTACAATTCCACACATTTTTCATAGCGTGGTGATACAGATTGATGGTGGTGTTGCACAAAGAAATATGTTAGAAGATATTTCATAGGCTTTCACAGACAATTTCATCTCTATTTAAATGGGTAACACTGCATAAATGGTGTTCTGAAATAATATAATGGTTAAGGCATTTGAATAGAAAAATGCGTATCATTTATTCAACATTGGAGTATCTACTCCTATGCTAAGCACATATATTTATAGTATGGCATCAAGAAAAATTCATCTGTCTCTGGAATTTGAAGTTTAAGGCTTTTCTTTTTATCTTGAGTGTCCTGAACTGTTTTTGGTGCTCATTTTGACCTAGATAATGCTCACCAAATGCAGATCAGATAACCAAAAATTCGTAATTCCATCTCCATCTCTTTTTTTAGTATTCTCTTTCAGAACAAAAATATTTTCACTTTTAGTGTTACATACAAGTTAACAAGAATTTATAATACTTTATGACTTTTGTCATCTGTAATTGTGATGTGTAGAGACCTAAAATGTAGTTTAATTTTTAAGAATATTTGATGATTTCAACAAATGATTGAAAACAATTGGCCATCCATATGCAAAAAGAAAAAAGAGCCCTAACCTAAATGTAATACCCATAACAAAAATAAACTGAAAATGGATTATAGATCTAAATGTAAAACATAAAACTAAAAATTTAGAAGAAAGATATATTTACTGTGTGACCCAGGTACCACTCCTGTGTATTTAATTTACTCTTGAGAAATGAAGCTTTTGTCCACACAAAACCTGTGAAGTTTCATAGAAGCTGCATTCATAAGCACCAAAAACTGGAAACAACCCACATGTCCTCCTATGGGTGAATAGTTATAAACAAACTGCAGTGTAGACATACAGTGGAATACTGCTCAGCAATGGAAAGGAGTGATCATTAATATGCACAGCAGCTTGAATGAATCTTCAGAGGCGTTGTACTAAAAGAAAGAAGCCAGTATTCCGTCATTATCAGAAAGACGAAACTAGATGGAGAACAGATCACTAGTTTCTAAGAATGCAGGAAGGGCATGCCTACAATGAGACAGTACACGGGCATTTTTTTGAGGTGAGAGAGCTATTTTATATCCTGATGATAGTGATCGATACTCAGAACTACATACCCCAAGAAGGTTAATTTTACCACATATTAAAAATGAAGCAAAAAAGACCTTTTCTTTTCTTTCTATTGTACCTATATGAGAAGATGGGTGTTAGCTAAATCTGTTATGGTAATCACTTCACATTATGTGTAAATCAAGCCATCATGTTGTATGCCTTAAACTTACACAATGATGTATGTCAATTATTCCTCAGTAAAATTGGAGGAAATGTTTTTTAATGGAAAATAGTATGTGATGAAATAATGCCATTGGTTTTTCCTTAAAAGGGTTATAAAAATAATAATTGTTGCTAACCTTATTGTCTAAAATGAAGTGCTCAACTTGCTAGAAATTTTATCGTATAAGTTACATAAGAATCCAAAGCAAAACATTTGTTTGGTTTTTTGGTTGTTTTGGGGGTTTTTTTGCTTGTTTTCTAAAATAGCACTTCTGATAACCTCAATTGCTATTGTGTGAGCCAAATAATAGCAAACTTTTTCACATGATATACTTTTCCTTTTAATTTAAGAATCAAATGGGCGACTCAAATATCTCCAGTCCTGGGCTACAGCCAAGCACTCAGCTCTCCAATCTGGGAAGCACCGAGACTCTAGAAGAGACGCCATCCGGGTTACAAGATAAGGTGTGTACAGCTAAAGCTCCAGCTTTGTCCAAGATAACAAAACACAGAGTAGCATTTTGTAAGGATTTTAATGTAGTACAAGTTTGATATGTTATTTATCTTCAAGGCACGTATAGGCAGTGCATAGTGATATTCACTCACGTCATTTCCCCTCATCCATGTAACTGTCCTTTATCTGGATTTTATAGTACTTTCTGTCTGGTTTCCAGCTTTTGCCCTTGTCACTCCCTTACCTATTCTTAACCCAGCTGCCAGCACAATCCTGGCAAAACAAGTTAGATCATGGCACTCCTCTGCTTAAAACTCCAGTGGCATCCATCTCACTCAAAGCCAAGGTCGTGGCAGTGGCCCACAAGGCTCTACTTGATCTGGTCCCACACCCTGGTTTCATCTTGTATCTCTGCTTGCTCACTTGACCCCAGCCTTGCTGGCTCTTCTGCCTTTCCACAAATGTGCCAGACTTGCTCCCTCCTCAGACTGGCCTTTGCACTTGTTGTTCCCTGGCCTGGAGTACTTGCCTTCTGTGTATGGCTTGCTCCCTTTTTTCCTTCAGGTCTCAAGTATCCTCTATATAGATGAGGCCTTCTCTCACCTCTCTATTTTAAATAACAATCCTTCCTGTGCTTTATTTTCTCCCTAAGACTTCTACCCGACTAACATGGTTGTGTTTTTCGTATATATTCATTGTCTCCTCCCACCAAAATGTAAGCTCCATGGGGGTAGGCAGTTAGGTCTGCCTAGTTCAGCATCTCTTCTTATTAGCATCAGCATTGTAAATATCTGTTGACTGAGTTAGTTTTCTTTATAACTGATGGGTTGATGAATGAACAGATACCAAATAAAACCCATAGTTTTTTAATTAAACTTTTGATTTTGAAGTAATTATAGATTCACATGTAGTTACAAGAAATGATATAGAAAGATCCCGTGTAGCCTTCCCCCACTCCCCATTGTTAACAGCTTGCAGAATATAGCACGATATCACAACTAGGATGTTGACGCATCTACCATCTAGTTCACATTTTCTCAGTTTTATTTGTATTCATTTGTGCGTGTGTATGTGTGTACATATGTAGTTCCATGCAATTTTATCTGGTGCCTAGCTTTGTGTATCCACCACCACAGTGAAGATACAGAAGACTTCCATCACCACAAGGATCCTTAGTGTTGACCTTCTATTATCATACGGACTTCCCTGTCTTACCCTTCCTGCCTCCCCCCTCCTCATCCTTAACCCTAAACAGCCACTAATCTGTCTCAGTTCTCTCCAGGTCTGTCATGCTGTGGTTTTAGGAATGGATTGACTCCATAATCCGCCCCTACACAGAGATAGTACATTTCTTTGGTAACACTGCCATCTAGTGCTGAGGAGCAAAGAATGCTCTCAAGCCTTAATAGTGTTAATTCCATATGTTTCATAATTCACTTATTAGAATTCCTTTGGACTATTTTTCTAGTTGGTTTTGTTTTGTTTTGTTTTGTTTTTATTCCTATGTTAGGAGTAATGCATACCCTCTTGTGTGCTCAGTTTACTGACCAGGTAGGAAATCTGACATGGACACAATAGAGCCAAACATATATGAAATTCTCTAAATACGAAGAGCTGTGGGATGAGGAAGGAACAGTGTAAAACCTGACACAGTATATTAAAATTTTGCCATGTACCATATATGTTGTTGTTCACTGAATTCCATCTCCCAAGGGAAATGGTCAGACTAACACTTGATTTAAGTGAGGCGTTATAAAACTCAATCTAAACCTGAAGCATATCCAGACATGGGGAAAGAGTAAAATTTAACCTTTTCTGTGGACGATGGAAGAGGAGTCCATGACTACATAAGCCCAGTTTCTAGAGGAATGTAGCCAGTTTTTCTTGTCACGGGGTCCTCTCAGGCAGAGACTGTAGAGCTGTTGGGAGCTTGTGTGGAGAAGCAGGCTCTGCTTACAAAGTTCAGCCTCTATGACTGATTCGCCAGTTGTCTATTCCATTAGTTGGTACATCTTGACCTGTAGACACCTCTTAGTTCTTCAAGGTTTAGCTTCACCTTTGTTTTCCAAAGGTTAATATTACTGTTCAGTTGATTAGGTAACCTATAGTCTGCTTAATTGACACCTCATGTGGTGGCATAATGGGAAGAATGTGGACTATGTTAGAACTAGATTAGAGTCTGGTTATGTTGTACTTAGGCATCATCTATAAAATGGCAACAATAATAGTAGTGTCCTACAGATTAAGAGAGTGACGCACAAGTGTTAGAATCTGTTTCTGGCCTGGCAGAAGCTATAGGGAGGCAGCACTGAGAAATCTGGAAACTTTGTTTTTTTTTGTAGTCCAGGTTCAAAATTTCGCTATATAGTTTTATTTTTTAATATGAAGTAGGTTTTAAACCATTAGAAATAGTTATTTTTAAGTATAAGTGTAGAAACATTCCAAATGTAAATACAGGTTGTTTTAGTTTAAAAGTTGATTGATGGTCCACCAGGCAGGTAAAAATTGCTGCCTAGATCCTGACATTCTTGAAGCGTAAGTTGTATTTCATGGGGAGGCTTCTCCATGTCCTATTGTTCCTTTTCTTATAACATAAAAATAGTATTCTTACCTGGGAAAGACTTAAATTTCTGGAAAATAGCCCTTATATGGTCTATGTTTTTCAAAGCAGTTATATCTAAATGTTGGTTTCTCTCCATATATATAAATCTATATACATATATAACAGAATGTGGTGGTAAAGATCTACATAATTTGCATCAATGAATAAAAATCAATGTAGTTTTCCAGCACTTTTTTTGCCACGCATCTTGATCATTTTGTTTTAAACATAATGTGTATAAAAAGGAATTAACCCAAGTCAAAAATGGGCAAAGGACTTGAATAGACATTTCTTCTAATAAGATAAACAAATGGCCAACAAAGATTGGCAAGAATATGGAGAAATTAGAACTCTCTTGCACTGCTGGAAGAAACATAAAGTGGTGCAGCAGCTGTGGAAGACAGTTTGGCACTTCCTCAAAAAGTTAAGTGTAGAATTATAATATGATCCAGCAATTCAGTTCATGGACATATACCCAAAAGAATTGAAAACAATGACTAAAACTGATATATTTACACTAATGTTCATAGCAGCGTTATTCACTATAGCCAAAAGGTGGAAAGAACCCAAGTGTCAATCATCAGATGAGTGAGTAAACAAGATGTGATATATGCATACAGTGCAATATTATTCAGCCTTAAAAGGAATGAAATTCTGACACATGCTACAACATGGATGAACCCTGAAAACATGCTAAATGAAATAAGCTAGTCCTAAAAGGACAAATATTGTATGATTGCACTTATACAAGGTATCTAGAATAGGCAAATTCATAGAAACAGTAGAATTGAGATTATTAGGGACTATAGGTAGGGTGGTGGAGAGAGGAGAAAAATAATTATTTGCCATTGGAGAATTCCTTCACTTAAACAAACCTCTTGTCACATTAATTTCCCAAAATATATTATGTTAGCTTTTAAAAATTAATAGAATTCTCTTCATTGAGTATATTCTAAGATAAAATTGTTTGATATGAAATTTCAGTTCTTTACAGCTGGGGAGGCTCCTGCCTCTTCCTCAACAACAGTTACTTGGAGCTGCCATCATCTTCCTCAGACCTGCTCCGCCACCTCACCCAGCAGCTGACACGTCCTCACCAGGGCATTCCCTTCACTTGTAAACTGCCTGCGTCCTCTGTTCTCAGCACTGGCCTCCTTCCCCTGTTGTCTCTCCTTGACAAAGGGGAGAGAGAGAAAAATGATGTGAGAGAGAAATATTGACCAGCTGCCTCCTGCATGCCCCCTATTGGGGAAGGAGCCTGAAACCCAGGCATGTGCCCTGACTGGGAATCAAACCGGTGACCTTTTGGTGCATGGGGCCGATGCTCAATCCACTGAGCAACACCGGCCAGGCAAATGCTTTGGCTTTTTTTGAAGACTTTGTGACTTGGAAGTAGAATGAGAAAGGCCTATTTTTTTTAATGGTTACATTTATTTTCTGATATTTGAGACTCAGCCGAGGTGCAATGCCTAGCTTTGTATCAAGAGTAGTCAAAATAGTCCTAACCAGTTTGGCTCAGTGGATAGAGCATTGGTCTGCGGACTCAAGGGTTCCAGGTTCAATTCTGGTCAAGGGCATGTACCTTGGTTGCAGGCACATCCCCCAGTAGGGGGTGTGCAAGAGGCAGCTGATTGATGTTTCTCTCTCATCAATGTTTCTAACTCTCTATCCCACTCCCTTCCTCTTTGTAAAAAAATCAATAAAATATATTTAAAAAAAAAAAAAGTAGTCAAAATAAAAGTAGGATTACCTGATCAGCATTTGGTCCCTCTGTCCTCCTGAATGTTATTTCCCTACATGTGTTACTGACATGGGGCAATAGGCACAATTAACTTTGTAATAAGGTAATTGTCCCCTCACCTGTTATCAGTCATTTGCCCAGGAAAAAAGTGAACTCTAACGCTGTTATCTGGAGTCCCTAAAATTTGAATTTTATTACTAGTGCATGTTTTTTGTTTTTGTTTTTTTTGAGAGAGAGAGACATTAATTTGTTGTTCCACTTATTTATTCATTCATTAGTTGATTCCTGTATGGTCCTCCTGACCGGGGATCAAACCAGGAACCTTGGCGTATTGGGACAATGCTCTAACCAACTGAGCTCCAACCAGGGCTACTAATGTAGATTTCTACCCACCAACCTGGGGAGACTAGATGCATCTTGGCCTTAATCGCTGGTACATCTTCACTTTGTTCCATTTTCTTATTTTCAGACTCCATCCATCCTTGCTTCTGCAAACTGTTTTTGATTGATGAAAAAGTGTAGTTACACTGGTTTGCAAGAGATGTCTTTCATTGGTGGTTTTGTTTGTTTTCCAGTCTGCTCCATCAGGACACAAACACCTGACCGTGGAAGAATTGTTTGGAACCTCTTTGCCAAAGGAACAGCCAACAGTTGTGGGTCTGGATTCAGAAGAAGTAGAGAAGCTGCCAGGAGATGCCCCTCAGAAAGAACTCAGCTCATTCCTACCATTTTCCTTTGAGCAGTCAGGAGGGACTCCTCGGTCAGAAAACCCGGGTGCCCATCCCGCTGCCCACCACTCAGCCCAACCTGAAGTCACTGCCCCGGTGCTAATCACTCCTGCCTCCATCTCACAGTCCAATGAAAAGCAGCTCCCAAGCTATGCGATCCCATTGCACCCCGGGCTCAGCCCCACTCTACCAGCAGAAGCTCCTACTGTACAGGTTCCCCCCTGCTTACCCCGAAACACCACCATGATGCAGGCAGTGAAGACCACGCCAAGACAGAGGTCTCCACTCCTGGGTCAGTCAGTCCCCGAGCTGAGCCATGCCAGTCTGACTGCCAGTCAGAGCCCCTTCAGGGCCCCTCTGAGCGTGACAAACACTGCTGGGACAACCCTCCCAAGTGTTGATCTTCTCCAGAAACTCAGGTTGACCCCACAGCATGACCAAATACAGACACAGTCGCTTGGGAAGGGTGCAGTGGCACCCAGCTTTCCTCCAGCAGCTGGCCAGCTGGCCACACCTGAGAGCTTCATAGAGCCTCCTCCTAAGACAGCAGCAGCAAGAGCCTCCACCGCCCTGAGCAACATGGTGCTTGCTCCCCCTCAGGTACTGCAGGAGGGGGGTGCTTTAACCGAGTGGGGGGAACTGGAAAGACCATATGCTTTTACCGATTTTAGAGGGAGAGGGATAGAGAGAGAGAAACATAGATGAGAGAAACATTGATTGGCTGCCTCATGCACGCCCCACACTGGGGATCGAGCTCCCAACCCGGCATGTGCCCTGACTTGGAGTCAAACCGTGACCTCCTGGTTCATAGGTCAATGCTCAACCACTGAGCCACGCCACCAGGGCAAGACAGAGTCATTTTATTTTATTTTATTTCATTTATTTTTAATCTTCAAGGATATTTTTCCATTGATTTTTAGAGAGGGAAAGACAGAAATATTGATGTGAGAGAAACAAATTGATTGGTTGCCTCCTGCATAAGCCCCAACCACAGCCCGGGCAAGGGAGGAGCCTGCAATCAAGGTACATGTCCTTGACCAGAATCGAACCCAGGACCCTTTGGGCCACAGGCTGACACTCTATCCACTAAGCCAAACCTGCTAGGGCCACACCCAGCAGAACTTACGCATACTGTGTTCTTTAGAAAATGGGAGCTCTTATCAAGATGGCAATGGGTAACACTTTTGGCAAAGACTTCAGGATCCTGGTTTTGCTGCATAGACCAATGTTTAAAAAAAGAGAGATGAACAGACATAGCACGTTTCAATAAGGATTTCCTAATTAATGAGGAAAATTGTAGGTTAGCAATAGGAAACGTTAGCAACTAGTCCTAGATTCCTGATGGAAGAGGCTGACAGGAACTTGTGACAGTGTAGTTGATGATGCAACAGGATGAAAGCTTCAAGACAGATTCTGACCCTCTTCATACCGCAAGGAGGTGTGTGCAAAGCCTTAACTGTGTCTCTGAGGAAAAAACTGAAACCTGTGGCTTTTGTAAGAGCTGTTGTTCCTATTGAGTCTGCAGATGTGCAAGGTCCTGGCAGCACACCTCTGGATGAGGCGCTTTAAACTGGACAGGTAGCACTAAACGTCCTCTATCCAGAGTCACGCTTACACATGTGAAATCTTGTCCTCATTCACTGGGAGAGAAAGAACTTCTAGTTGTAGAGCACACACATTAGAACTCAATGAAGCCCCGGCTCCTAAAATTCGATACTGCCAGGTAATTGAGAAAATACACATACAAATGCTGCCCTTGAAAGGAGGCACTCAGGATTGAGGCTGCACTCCCACAGCAACAGGAAGAGTGGCAGCAAACGCAGTTTAGGGCACAAGACCTGTTACATAGGACACTCTCCTTCCCCCTTGTGCTGCAGAGAACCTCGAGAACTGGCCCAAAGTGACAATTTAATAAGCTTCAAACCTGGGATGCTCTGTGGCACCCTAGTGTGCCTGCACAAGGTAGACACTGAATGAGGACTGAAGAAGTTGGGAGTTGAGCAAAGCTTGGGATAATTTGCGTGGTCCTGCGTCAAAGGAGGACTTATGGAACTATCAGGCAAAAACAAACAAAAAGTCCTAAAATGGCCCGGCCAGGGTCGCTCAGTGGTTGAGCATCAATCCATAAACCAGGAGGTCATGGTTCGATTCCTGGTCGGCATAGGCTGGGTTGTGGGCTTGACCCCCAAAGGGTCCCGGGTTCCATTCCAGTCAAGGGCACATACCGTGGTTGCAGGCTCCTCCCTGACTCGGGCTCTGGTTGGGGCTCTTGCAGGAGACAACCAATTGATGTGTTTTTCTCACATTGATGTTTGTCTTTCCCTCTCTCTTCCACTCTCTCTAAAAGATCAATGGGAAATATCCTGGGGTGAGGATTAACAACAAAAAAAAGTCCTGGGTGTGAAGTAAAGCACTGTACTTGACTGAAAAGTTCATAGCTTTCAAGCTAGACTCGTCGTAGTTACCCGCTCGTAGGCCAGGCTCCTCTGCGACCCCAGACAGTTCATTACTGTGGCCTCTGTAGACTCGAGTCATCACTGTGTGGATGTCTTCCCTGACTGTACACGCGCAGGGTCAGCCACAGGGCCGGCATTTGCTCAGTGTTTGTGAATGGGTGGGTGACTGCTCAGAACACAGCAGCCTGCTTCTCTGAGTAGGAAATACGCTTTGCCCTGGAAGAGCTGTGATGTCCCAGTTAGCAAAGGGCAGTGTCACTGCCTGCCACAGTGCTCTCCTTGGCTTCCCGTTGCCCTGACAACAAAGCCTCCCAGGCCTGTGCGCTCTGTCTTGTTTATCCTCCCCTACCCCATTTTTAAAAATTGCCCCCACCCTCAATTACCTGCCAGCCTTGAAAATGCACACTTTTTTTTTTTCATTTCTAAAATTTTACATTCCCATTTGCCTTTGAGCCTTTTCATTTCGCCTCATGTCTCAGATTTTACACTAAAGCCAGCTTCTGACTGGTCTTGTCACCCAGTCTTTTCTGTAGCTTCTCCTGCTACACGGTGATTGGCGGGATCTCTCAGCCTGATGCCACACACACAAAAAACGCTAAATGGCTCAGACACCAAAATTATACCCACAAACTGACAGGCTGTTTGCTCTTTGTACATGAGGAGGGTGACAGGTAGAGAAATGTAGATCTCTTGTTGATTATAGCAAATATGAGCATTATTAAAACTGATTATTCTTAGCTTAGTATATTCCGATGGTTAGCCATTACTAGCCTAGAAGCACATCTAAATGGGGAAGGAGGTAGATGTTAGTTTTATTTTTAAGAAATTCTATCTTTGATACCAGCAGTAGTATAGTAAATATATTGAACACTACAAAAGAAACAAGTGCTATGTAACTGGATTTTTTAAATTCTCTTATTTTTTTTTTAAATATATTTTATTGATTGTTTACAGAGAGGAAGGGAGAGGGATAGAGAGTTAGAAACATCGATGAGAGAGAAACATCAATCAGCTGCCTCCTGCACACCCCCCACTGGGGATGTGCCCGCAACCAAGGCACATGCCCTTGACCGGAATCGAACCTGGGACCCTTCAGTTCGCAGGCCGACGCTCTATCCACTGAGCCAAACCAGCCAGGGCTCTCTTCTTATTGAAGTAAAATTTACATATACTAAAATGCAGAGTTTTGACAAACATCTCTCCCTCGAGTAACCTCACCCAATCACAATATGTAACATTGCCATCATCCCTAACGTTTTCTCATGTCCTCTTTCAATCATTTTCTTGCCCCCCCCATAAAAAATTTACATTTTAATTTATCATAGGATTGTTCTTACTGTGTGTACATACCATGCTGGTTATTCATCATATTCCCCTTCTTTAGTGATCAGACTTGGCTTCTCATAACAACTCTACAGAATTCTTAACACATAAATGGGCTCTTCATCCTTTAGCTGACACGTTTCCTAACCAGACATAAATGCTTCTACTGAATGCTTATCTGAACTCCAAATAGTTAGCATTGGACTCTGCTCCAGTCTCCTTCTGCTTATCGGGTTATCGGGTGTTGCTTACTTTGAGCCTGGCTGCTGGCTTCTGCACTTTGATACAGAAATGACCATTGTTCCCCTGCAGGTTGCAGGTCCCCCCGTGGTTACTGCAACAACCGCTGTAGTGTCTTCAGTGCTGCTGTCCCCGAGTGTTTTCCAGCAGACAGTGACCAGGGCCACAGACCTGGAGAGGAAAGCAAGCTCCTCTTCGCCTCTGACAGTTGGAACGTCGGAAAATCAGAGAAAGCCTTCCATCATTCTCAGCAAGTCTCAGCTCCAGGATACGTTAATACATCTAATTAAGGTATGTAGTCTTTGAATTTTCATTCTTTAATTTTAAAAAATTACAAGTTTTAGAAATTAGGTCAGTAAGTTAATTCAGGACTAGATGGAAGTAATGTTATTCTCTTCCTGAGCTTATAGGTGGAATAATATCTGAGTGAATTATTAATCATGGTGTTTCTGGATGGTAAGATTCTATGGGTACCTAGTTATACAAATCATTTATAACTAGTTACTCACACAGCTTTTTCCTGAGCTGTTATCAAGGATGTGAGTTCTGCCCTGGCTGGTGTGGCTTAATTAGTTGAGCATCATATCATGCACCAAGAGGTTGCAACCTGGTCAAGGCACATGCCCAGGTTGCCGGCTTGGTCCGTAGTAGGGAGTATGTAGGAGGCAGCTGATCATTTCTCTTCCTCTCCCTTCCTTTCTCTCAAAATCAGTACAAACATATTTTTTTAAAAATAGGACGTGAGCTCTGATAAGGTAACTGACATTACCCTCTCTTCCAGAATGACTCCAGCTTCCTCAGTACACTTCATGAAGTCTACTTGCAGGTTCTGACCAAGAACAAGGACAACCACAACCTATGACTGGAGCAGAAACCAGCCTGAAAACAGAATGTCAACCTCAGAAACAAACAGGCCTCATCATGAGAACTTCTGAACAGAACATGGAGTTCCTAGAATCCTGAAATTGAGCCTTTGAGAAAGAGACTCATCCTTAAGAATGTTTCCCAAGTGACGTTCTCAGTGATAATGGAGGTTTCACTGTGAAGCATCACCAGCAGCCCTTTGTTTTGACAAAAAAAAAAAAAAAAATAGACCATTGTGTTAAGTTGTGTGGGTGTTTTCATCAGCTGTAAGCACCTGTGAAATAAGGAGTCTTGAGTTTCAACTGCTTTCGCTTTTGAAGTCTTAGGGAGGAGGGTCCCCAGCCTTGCTGCAGTCAGAGTTCAGCCCAGCCTGCCCCCCCCCCTCCTCTTTCCCCCCAGGAACGTGAGCATCAGGCTGAGAGTCAAGTTTGAGCAGCGCAGAAGCCAGCTCTGTGCAATGTCGTTTCCAGTTGTAAGCATCAGAATTTAAATGGGCAAGTTAGGACTGGTTTGTTCAAGTGAAGTATATCTTATATGAGTGCTCCATTTGGGCCTTTAAAGTCCTGAAAATTGTGTTTTGTTTTTAAGAGTCCTTAGTGCTGACATGCAGCAGGTTCGTTCCCATATGGTGGCGAGAGAGCAGGCACGTCACACCTCTGAAGCAAAGGCTGAGGCTGGTAAAGCTCAAATTCTATCAGAAATCTTCACTTTAAGTTAAACTCTCCAGTGGTTTTGAAAACGTTACATTTGTGTGTGAAGCATAGCCTTATTTTCCTTTTCTGTGTAAACACAGAGGTCTTTGTTGATTGTTTTCCTTAACACTTTGACAAAGGACCAGTGGACCAATCTGACAAAGCCATTCTGGTTCCATTCCTCGAGTCTACTGAGAATAATGTTGAAGCTATGCAGAAAAGGGAGCTGTTACTCACACTGCCCTTACCTTACTGTAGTATACGGAGCTCAAGCAAAGCAAATTCAGAACTTTACCAATGTATTCAGGCTGTGAGTACTTTTGCAGCCAAAGTGTGAAAATATGTAAAGATGCTTTGTTATGCTGCTATTAATCTGCCAGGATTTATATTTATTTTATGGCATGTAATGGTGATTAGTAATATTTTAATGTAGATTTGGGTTTATTTCAGCAATAGTAATTTTAAGATATTCTTTGAATGAAAGTGTTTTTGTTTCTATGATACAGGTCATTTTGTAGTATTTAACCAATTAAGATGCACTGCTTACTTTTCTGAGCACTAATGATTGGGTAAAAACCCTAGTGGCTCAGCCGGCTAGCATAAGGATTAGCTGTGAATAATGCTGACAGATATGATAGTTCCTCGGGAGCAATCAGTTAAGCTTTAATGGTAACTCAGTCATAAACCCATAGATTTTGTTTCCTAGTTGAGATTTTAGAAAATTACCTGTGAATTGCATACTTGTTTTAGTTTGGTCTTAGTTTTTTAGCATAAAGAATGCTTTGTTTGATTGGCTTTATTCATCTAAACATGCTTCTCTGGCAACTTTTCTGCTTCTCAATTTAGTGTCTTCTATTGCATCTACTTAGTTATTTGTGAATTGTGCAAAAGTCAGGAAAACTTATAAGTTCTCATACTCAATTAGGAATAGTTTGTTTTCAAAGGTAGTGTGTAAGTTCAGCAACCAAAAATGAATTGCTGGTGTATCACAGGGAAAGGGAAAGTTACAGTAGGATACAGAGAGTTACTGACACCAGGAGACTGTCCACGGAGCCACACGACTGTTCTCAGAAAACAGTTGCACCAGTAGGTTTGATCTCACCCAAGAGTAGTCTCAGTGGGCTTTGGTAAGCAGAAGAATCAAGGGATTCTGGTTATAATTAGTAGACATTAGAATTGACATGGTGATTTGAGTATGTATAATATTAGGAGAGTTAAGAGAGAATAACCTAAGAGGGTCTGTAATCAAATCTGTTCATTTTCACCCTTTAACCCAAGGGAATAAATATGATAGATGGAAAAGAGAATCTGTGATAAGGTTTCCTTAATGTGAACGTAAATTTTAAGTGCCCAAGTCATGGAGATTTGAAAAGGTGATGCCTGTTTCAACTCCCAAATTTAAATATTCAAAGCATGTATTTAAAGTTCAGAAGCCAGAACTTCACCATTATGATTACCTGGAAGTTTGGGCCAGAATGAGTTCCTAAGAAAGTCGGGCCAAGCCTGGATAGTTGCAGTTAGATGATCCTGGCCCAGAAGTCCGTTCAGTTGCCTTATTCCTTTCAGGCTCACTGTCCAGAACCTCGTGCTAGCTTGGGTTGCGTGTTTACATTGCTACCGTGTCTTTTCTGGAACCTTAGTTGAATTGTAATGGACACCAAAACAGAGAGGCTTCTTGCTAGGTTTTGCAGGGGTGACCGCTCTCCTGTTGTGGTTAATGTGCTGTTTTGAATGGACTCCCAGACGACCTTACTCCTTTAGGCAGAAGCTCCTCCTCACTGTGCCTCTCCTGAGATTTGTAAGGTGTGGCTTGGAATCCTATGTTTTCAAATGACGGTCAGTGTCAGGAGAAGCATTCCGTGCCATCTGCATGTGAGTGTCCACAGCTTTCCTTCTGAGGCTTTGGGTCACCGTCAGTGGTGTTTGAAGAGCCAAAGGTGACCAGGGTCCTCCTCTGCCTGAGGATGCGCAGGCTTTGTGTGGGCTATGTCTGTCCCAATTTTGCATGTCAAGCATTTGTTCCTTTTCCACCTATGTTTTCCTATAAAAATTGTAAACCCCATCAAATCCTCTAGTTAAATATTTTTAAACAATGCAGCTTTATTACTCTCCTCCCCAAAGAATGTAGTTGGAAATTTTCTCATTTTGGTAGTAGAGGCCATAACTGCCATTGTATTACTAATAATGCAACATGAAATTGAAGGTGCCTAACTGCTTAAAGAAACAAAATCAGCCATCATACTGTAACTCTGGGCAAATGCAGAAACACGGAGGAATGAGAGGCGGTGCAGGCACGCGTGGGCCCAGTCCGCGTGAGTGAAGACCAGGAACCACAGGGACGTGTGTCCTGCATTCTCGCTGCACATTTGCTGTTGAGCATGTGTTTCTCTCTTACCTGTCTTTGGTTTTCTTCGCTTGTATTCAAAGTACCTTGTGCCCTGTGTTTTCAGGTGCCTAAAATGTTAAGATCTGCACCAAGTAAAGCAACTAACACTGGGCTTTTTGAACGCTGTGTTCCTGAGTGTGCTGGGGCCTCAAGGAGCCTGTTTTTCAGCAAGAGAGATGTGTGCAATGTTTCACTTGGTTTTATATTTGATTTGATATCTTCGTTAAATGCTGAGATGCAATATTGTTCACTTAGAGTGGGGAAGATGCAAGATTGTGTTTCCCTTTTACCTGTGTGGTTCTGTGTTCTAAATGGTTTTTATTCTGTACCACCGCTTTGGCCACGTGGCTCTCATGACTTTCAGTGTCCCAGAGTCCCAGCTCCCCGAAACATTGTGGGGGAGGGGAGCTCTGGAATTACAGCAAGATTTTTGTTCCTTGAGCGCAATACTGCATCATTAACATTTTTAATGGTATGAATTTTATACCATCTGTGTATGTTTGCAAATATTAAGTTATTACATGTTTTCAAATGAGCATTTTTCATCCTAAATTTTATATGTTTGCAAATATATTTTTTTAATAAAAGTTCGAAACCAAGTTTTACCACCTAATAAATTTTAATTGTGTTTTTATTTAATTTATAGAAATAGAATCTTTTGAATGAGTTGCTCCACTTTGCCAGAGCCTAATACTGGTGAGATGGGGTGGGGCAAGAGAACAAAACTGACAAAACCTTTGTCTACCTGCTTCCACCCTGTTCCAGCCGGTTGGGTCGCAGGCCACACGATTCCCAGGTCAGAAGCCTTGAATGAGTGGACTCCAGAGAATTTCATCTCCTGTTTCTCTCTCTGATGTGTCCCTGCCTCCAGACATTGCCCCTCCTAGGCCTCTCCCAGGCCTGGTTCTTTCCCCCAAATGGAGCTAATAGAGAGGTTCCCATCCTGCTGGCACTTCCCCAGATGGAGGATACAGTTCTGATCACGACCAAAAACAGTTTATAAGAAACTTTACAGTCTGGGTCATTTCCCAAAGTCATTGTTTCATGTGTATTGAACTGCCAATGTGTGCCAGGCATCTAGGAAGGTAAGGAAAGAAAGGGAGTGAGGAAAGTAAAATGTGATCATGGTGGGAAATAAAGAAAAGTTTAGCCCTAACCGGTTTGGCTCAGTGGATACAGCATCGGCCTGCGGACTGAAGGGTCCCAGGTTCAATTCTGGTCAAGGGTATGTATCTTGGCTGTGGGCACATCCCCAGTAGGGGGTGTGCAGAAGTCAGCTGATCGAAGTTTCTAACTCTTTATCCCTCTCCCGTCTCTGTAAAAAATCAAATATATATATATATATATATATATATATATATATATATATATATATATTTTTTTTTTTTTTAAAGGAAAAGTTTAAGGGGAAAAAATGGTTGAGCCCTGGCCATGTGGCTCAGTTGGTTGGAGCGTTGTCCTGTGCACCAAAAGGTTGTGGGTTTGATCCCTGGTCAGATCTCATTGCATTTGGGAGGCAACTGATTGATGTTTCTCTCACACATCAATGTTTTTCTCCCTTCAGCTATCTCTCAAAATTGATAAACATATCCTCCATAAGGATTTAAAAAATGTGTTAATCATATATCTCCCTAATAATTGTTAACATTTAATGTTTCCAAACAAAATTCTCCCTAAAATGTTTGCTATACCTTCCTGCTTTCTTAGAGCAGAGCATATACTAACTCTTGCCTTATAACTTTGTTATAAACACACACCAGTTATCATTATTCAACTGCTTATTCAACAGGTAAGGATTGCTGCCTCATTTTCTGTTGTGTTTTTTTTTGGGTGGTGGTTTTTTGTTTTTGTTTTTGTTTTCTCATTATTTTCTTGATCTGCACAATAACCCATTTTAGGGAGAAGGAAGTTGAAGGTGAGAGTGATTGAGGTATATGCCAAAGGTGGGTCAGGACCTGAAGCCAAGCAAACCAGAGAGCTGGTCTAGAATTCTTTATATATATATATATATATTGATTTCAGAGAGGAAGGAAAAGGGAAAGAGAGAGAAACATCAGTGAGAGGGAATCATTGATCACTGCCTCCTGCATGCCCCCTACTGGGGATCGAGCTCATAATCAGGACATGGGAATCAAACCGTGACTTCCTGGTTCATACGTTGACGCTCAACCACTGAGCACACTGGCCAGGTGGTTTCTGGATTGTTTCTAATAACGTTTTCACTCACTGTTTAGGGATCCTGGATCATAGATTACATGTTGCTAAACTTAATCTTTAAGTAAGGAGACTGAATAAGAGACTATTGAGGCTTCTGGGAAACTGTCTCAGAGAATTACCAGGAACCAGCCTGCCTGTCTCACTGACTGAAGAACTAGAACTTGCATCGCTGGGTGGTCACTGAGGAAAGCCCACCTTTAGACAAAGCCAGGTCCTTGGAAGGCAGAAGGGAAGAGCAGAAATGGTCCCTCAAACATACCCTGAAGCTCAGCTACCTTCCATCTTTCAGGCAGCTACCACGTGCAATGTGAACAAGCCTGACAGGTTTCCAAGGAGCTGAGATCAAGACCAGGTTCTAACGGCTACCTCTCGGAGTTTGCTAAATGGATTAGGCAAGAAGACAGCTGCCACACACAGAACCAACCGGCAGTGAACCTTGCTGTCCACACACTGGCAGGAGGGCAGGGCTCCCAGCCCCAGCCAAGCCTTACCCACATCTCTCCAGGTGCTCCGGGGAACTTCGCTAGAAGATGACTAGTATGAGATGTAACCACCAGAAGGAGAATGGCTTGAACCGAGATAATACAGTGTGACATTCATACCATATTTGACAAGCATTTTTCAGATGAGTTTAAGTTAGAAGTGAATTCCACAAGTAATCATAACTGACATTCGTCATGTGCTGCATGTGCTTATTTAACCCTCTCCACGGCCCTGAGGTGGAGGGGTGTGGAGACCCCAACGTACAACACCAACTTCCCGTCACCCTGGGAGGGGTCAGAGGCACTGGCCCTGGTTAGATTGGTGTCAGTCCTTCCGACTGAAAAGTGCCCCAGAATACGGAGCCAGGAAAGCAGCCACAGTCCACAGGGACTATTTTCTTACCAGGTCACTGTTACTCCAGAAAGATGGATCAGGTGCCACCCGAGTCCCTGCAAAGCTCTAGGAGGCACCCTCAGCAAACCACCCCCCGTTTGCTATGGACTCTCAGAATGTTGGCAATGGAGCCCTGGCTTCTGAAGCAAGTACAAAACACATTTTGCTGCCCAGGCCCCATTTTGTTGTTTCTATCTCTGATGTGTCCCTGCCCCCAGACGTTGCCCCTCCTAGGCCTCTCCCAGACCCGGTTCTTTCCCCCAAATAGAGCTAATAGAGAGGTTCCCATCCTGCTGCCATTGAGAAGGATGGCTTCTGTTTGACCCCCGCTCCCCCAGCTAGGCCCTCCAGATGGGAAGGGGGACTCGAGCAATGGTGTGCAGTCAGTGGCCTCCACTTAACCATGGGATCTGCACCAGGGGTCTCTACCCAGCAGGTGCCTCGTCCCCTTTTAAACAAATATTTTGTAATTCCACCTTTACTGTCCTGAGCTGGAATTTACAGAGAATGTGACCTATGCCTGCACATACAATGCTAACATACCCTACGTGTCACATGAAGAAGAAATTTCAGAGCACTCTATAATGAAATGCTCCATATTAAATAAAGAAACACACAACTACAGAAACTCTCCACATGCCCCAGGAGAGAAGCCCTGGTCTTCACTGACACGACACTTGTCCCCACCATACCCAAAAGGTGGCTGCTGTCCCACCAAGGGCCTGTCCAGGGCCCAACGCCCCTGTGAATCAGCCTCCCCCACCCGCCACGGCCCACAGCCTGGATCTCAGCACTCACCGCCTTGACTCACCTGGGCTCCCACCCAAAAGGAGACCGAAGAGCTATTTGCACTCCAGCCCAAGACGCGGGGTTATTAATTAATGCTCCCGGAGGACTTTGGAGTCCCTAAACGATGGCTCAGTGCGATGCTGGAGGCTCAGCCCCTGATCAGCCAGCCTCTCGGGGAGAGGGCAGAGCAAGGTGGGCTGGAAGGTGGAAGGAGACACATGCAGGTGCTGCCTGTTAATCTTCATCCGAACCTTGGGCTGGGGGCGGCAGCTATTCTGTCCCAGACAGTGTGCTTGACACCACACCTGCTCAAGCGCACACCCATGCGCGCGCACACCCCTCCCACTCCCATTAGATTGTGACCCCCTGGGGAACCGGGACTGCTTTCGCCCCTCTGTGTCCACGGTGTGTACATAGTAGAGGTGCCTGTCACTACTTGGGGAATAGAGTGAATTTCAACATCAGATGAGGGAACTGACGATTGAGTAATTTGCCAAAGGCAGTCAGTCCAAGTTCACCCAGACAGAGCTCAGCAGAGGCGAGAGCTGAACTGGACGTGTTCAGACCCCTCCCTCTGGGCTTGCGGGACGTGGAAGAAGCCTCTAGGTCCCTGGAGAACTGCGAAGAGCATTTGTGAAATGACAGCAGCATTGCTCCCTGTGATGGGGCAATGGGCCGGTTCAGGGTTTGCTTCGCCTGTTGTGATTATTCCCAATTACCCATCGCAGGTGTAGCTCTCAGAGGACTTTCTCAGCCCGAGATCAGAGGAGGGCAAAGGAGGCTCAGAGGTGCCCTGCCAGGACACTGACCAAGCAGAGAAACTGAGGCCCAGGGTAGGAGGTGGGTGGGACCCAGCACCCTTTTCCCACTACAGCTGTTGCTGCTTTCCAATTCAGTGTTTTCAAATTCGAAATGGATTCACTGTCTCAGTCCCCCTCACCCATGCCAGCCCGCGAGGTACAGTTTTCTTGCAGGGAATACGGTCATTTCAAAACTTGCTATCCATGGTCACCTCCTCCTTGGAGCCTTCCCTGATCTGCAGTCTCAGCAGGCAATTCTTTTTTTTTTTTTATAAATGCTGAACATTTTTAATGTTTCTGACATTTCACAAAACATCTTTTGTTGACATTCTACAAATGACAGCATCCAATAATGTCCCAATCCTTTCTTCTTGTGAAGATAGTTTATATATCTTTTTGACTTCTGTAATATTTGTTATTTCAGGAAGATTTTTCAGGGAAACTTGCTGACCTTCTACCTTAGCTATTAGGTCTTCTTTATTTATTTGTTTTTCTCCATCTTCAATGTAAACAATTAGCACTGAAGTGTCATTTGCTGAGATACCAAATTTTTTCAAAGCCTCTGAAATATTGTTATTTGGGGACAGGTTGAAAATAATTTCAGTAGATAGAGTTCTCGTCTTCATTTTTCCTAGTTTGTAGAGATGAACTGCTTTGTTTGCTGCCACAAGTATCGCCGCCTCCGCAGGCAATTCTTTTGTACACACAGCCTCTGCCAGCCTGTGACCTGTGACCTCTTCAGAACCAAGAACCCTAACAGGATTGTCCTCCCTGAGCCTCTGGCACAGCACCAGCACATGGGCCTTGGTAAATGGAACAAGCGGATGAATGGATGAGTGAATCAAAGAGTCAGTGATGGCAGAACCATTTCGCTGTCCTGACTGGTGGCCAGCAGCAGCAGCAGCACCTTTCTGTTTTGCACGGTAGCACA